CCGGCAGCAGCAGTGTCAGCGAGTGCGCGCAAGTGCGGGTGACGGTCACCGCTCAGAGACGGAGCGGACCGAACGCCGGTTTCCGCACGGACTGCCGGGCTGGTGACAGGTGCAATCAGGCGGGACGACGGTGGCCGGAAGCCGAAGCTTTGAGTCGACCGACAGCGAACGGGGACGGGGCCGACCGCGGACAGGCCAGCGAGGTGCAGGTGGTGTGGCGGCGCGATGCAGCTTCGAGTCAACCGACAGCAGTCGCACCGGGGGCACGATGGCGACAGCGTTTGGCAGGCTGTCGCCGTTGATGGAGAGACAGTGGAGCTCGGAGTCGGCAACAGTACGAGAACGAACCAAAGAAACGTTGAGTTGTCAGATGATCTGCGCCTGCGCCTGCCCTCCCGAGAACGTCTGAGTCGGGCGACAGTGACACAAGCGGCCACGGAACGGTCCGAAAAGCCGACGAGATTTGTGCACAAGAGCAACGGGCGGATATTTATGAGTCGCTACGAAGTACGGAAGAACATACCCTGCCGGCACAAAGAGTACACTGCGAACAAAAGGCAAATGCGCCCACCTCGGGTTATGGGGAATTGTTGAGCAAAGTCATGCAGCTCCACACCTTCGGAGAATGCAAACACGTGCAACTGGAAGGGCGAGGCCGTAAACGATGTTGATACCAGCGGTGGTTCTAGCATTGCAATGGAATCCGCCTTGAAGCCAGAAGTGCCGAGCATACAAAGAGTCATGCTGGGCCGAATATGGCGGCCATCGCCACCCGCGATGCCTACGTTAACTGCCCAGAGCCACGCTCTTGTCGGCCAGCGGAAAAGACAAAGCATCTCGCCGGGCCAGAAATATCTTCGCGTATGGTGCTTCGTAAGGCGATTATCGCGGGCAATCGCGTCCCGTCAACCGACCACCAGCCTGCAGCACCAGCTGACAGCAGTCCCTCAGCTATTGACCCTCCCCCCTCCCCGGTCAACGACCGGTGCGACGCCACGTTTTTAATCGCTGGCACGGGTGATGCGGGTTCCGTGTCAGCGGGCGCTCCGGCTCACGGCGTCCGGACAATAACAGCGGACCACGACAGGGACGACACCGGCCCGCTGGTCAAGGAAGCCGACAGTCGCACAGAACCCCGAGGCAGGGAAACTGTCAGCTGTGAGGCATCCCGTGAGGCGGGCCATGCCTGTCGTGAACAAACTCAGGCCAAGGACGGTGCCAACCGTGGAACATCCCAATGCAGGGAAGCTGTCAGCTGTGAGACATCTCGTGAGGCGGGCCATGCCTGTCGTGAACAAACTCAGGCCATGGACGGTGCCAGTCGTGGAACATCCCAATGCAGCGAAGTCACCAGTTGCTGTGCATCTCAAGACAGGCAGGTCATCACACGAGGAGCATCTCCGGGCGTTGCCCACTTAAGCAGTCGTGGAGCACTCAGATCGCGGACAACACCAGCCGTGGTGCTGCACCTCAGGTCGCGGACGACACCAGCCGTGGTGCTGCACCTCAGGTCGCGGACAACACCAGCCGTGGTGCTGCACCTCAGGTCGCGGACACACCAGCCGTGGTGCTGCACCTCAGGTCGCGGGCGACACCAGCCGTGGTGCTGCACCTCAGGTCGCGGACGACACCAGCCGTGGTGCTGCACCTCAGGTCGCGGACAACACCAGCCGTGGTGCTGCAACCAGGTCGCGGGCGACACCAGCCGTGGTGCTGCAACTCACGGCGCAAGCGCCGTCTGCCGTATAATGCATAAGAACAACGACATCGGCGGTCGTGAAAGGCCTCAAGACAGGCAAGCCATCACTCGTAATACTCTTCAGCTTCAGGACTTTGCTGGTCGAAGAGCACCTGAGGCCAAGGAAAGCGCCAATCTCGGAGCGCCTCAAGGGACTTTCACTGCCAGTCGGGGGAAGCCTCAGGCCACGAATGCTGCTATTGGCGGAGCATTTCATCACAAGAACAACGCCAGTCAGAGAGATGTCAAGGTAGGTGACTCAATGCGGGACGTCAGAGAGAACTCCGTCGGGCACTCCGGCAGGTCATGTTCGGCCGCATGGCACACCGACGATTCCCGGGAAGCCGTCAGCAGCTGTGTGGGCAGTGGTGCCGGCGGCGATATCGACCCCAGCGGCCCCGATACCGGTGTGAGCAGCACCGCCGACGAGGCGGGATACGGCGCCGGGCGCGATGGCCGTGCCGCCGCTGGAGTGGCGGCCGGACAGGCCGGTGCAGCTCGTGCTGGTGTTGACCCGCAGCAGGTGACAAGCGGCGACGGGCACCGCGGGGAGTCTGCACCTGGCGGCCCACCTCTCGACGACGGTGAGGAGGAGACCCGGTCTGAGCGCGTTTCCAGTGATGCTTTGCACGCTGGTGGGCAGGAACAGCGTGACCGCGCCAGCATCCCTGATGGCTCATCCGCCGAGGCATATCTCGCCGAAGCTGCGTGGGATCGGGAGCAAGGGAAGGTGAACGCTGCCGACAGGGAAGCAGATGAAGAAGGGATGCACGCAGAACCCGCCAACGCTGTCTTCCAGTTCCACGTTTCCGCGCCCCAGTCTCAACACTTAATGATTTGGCCTCCCGAAGTCGTTCCCCGCGCCCGGTCCAGGTCATCCGAGGACAGACCGAGCGTCCGGCCCGCCTGTCTTCCCTGCGCTCATCCCAGCGATGATCGGTGGCCGACGGCAGATGACCGTGAGGCGGAAGCCGACCTCTCACGCGAGAGCATCACCCTGGAGGACCTCCTCAGCGACGGTCTGGACAGCACAGTGCTGGTGGACGACGACGACGACGACGGCGCCGACGGTGGCGACGACAGCAGCAGGCGGTTCTGCTCGCCTCAGACGCCCGAGAGCGTGTCGTCGGCGATGTCGTCGCCGGTGGTCGGCGTCTCTCCCAGTCGGATCCCACAGCTGCGCGCGCGGCCGCGCCAGAGGCGCACCGGCTCGCAGCTGCCAGTGCTGGATCGGACGTACACCGTCAGTAGGGCGGCGTCGCAGGGTGGGCGCGGCTCGGCGTCGCCAGACACGCCACCGCAGGCGCGGACCGTCGCGGGCCGACCGCGTCTGCTGCTCAGGGCGACCACCGGCGGCTTCGATCCGCCGGAGACGGCGCCGGCCGGCGCCGGCGGTCGCGGCTGACGCTGCGGCGAGGTGCGGACAATGGCGCCGTTGTGCCTGGCTTCACGGACACGTTTCCGCCGGCGGGCCGGCCGGGCGCGGCGGCGCTCGCTGTCGGCCCCACCACTGGGAGGTCACCTGCCCCCGCCGCCGCCGCCATCGCCGTCGCTGCCGGCCGCGACCGCCGGCCAGAGGCTCCTCATGCCGTCCAAGCCGACGGTGGCCTCAGTGCTGCGCAGCTCGACCATTCGGCAGGGTCTCGCCGCCGCCGCCGCGCTATCCGGCGCGCCGCGGGCGGGCGGCTCGCAGTCGTCCCTGGGCGAGCCGGCGCCGCAGCGGCCGCTGCGTTCGCTCTCGATGTGCCGCCCCGGCCGCGAGCCGACTGCTCGCGCGCTGCCGCTAGCCAGTGTCGGTCGGTACTCGACCATCCACGCGGGCCGTCGCGCCGCCGCCGTCCACGCCGCCGTCGCGTCCGACCGGCTTTGTCCAGCGGGCCCACTGCCGACCCCGCCCTCCTCAGCCCCAGCCGTGCTGCCCGGCACGCCACACCCCTACGCCGGAGATTTTCGACCCACAGCTCAGGGTAGGGAGCCGGACAGCCGCGATGGTATGCGTGGTGACGTTTCGCACCTGTGCCCGCTTTGCTTGGTTTGATGATATCTGTTGTTTTGTACGGCTTTGTTTCGCAGTTTTGTTGCATCCACATGGTTTTGGCAAGATCACTTAGCTGCCTCGTTCGTTCAAATTTGTGTTGCATGATTTCACCTCAGTTCGTTGCGCCATTCGTTCTTCCGTACATTTGATTTCCACAAGAGCTCACATTTACTGTACTGCTGCTTTAGCTAACCGCACCGCCTTCACCAGGTACCATGGGCAACGGACGCAGCAATGGCACGGAACAACAGACAGGGCCTTCCACGCTTCCTCCAAGCAGTCCAACTTCGGCTACCACGACGACTTCAACTCCGACTCGAGTGATGAGGTCAGTCGCATTACTGCTGCCACCTTACGGACACATTACAGTGCGGGAATGGCTGGGTTATGGGTTTCACCAATGCTGATGTTCTTCACAAAGCTGTAATGAGGTTGACGCACCCTTGCTGTTCGTTCTCAATTGCGCTTCCGTTTATACAGTGGAAGTGCCCGTAGAAGGAAAATGGAAGCTTGTCGGTTCTTATCATATGCTGATGAAGCCCAGATCAATTTCTTGAATATGATGGTTATTCGCTCAGTCAGGAAATACGTATGCAATGATCTTAAATAAATTTTAAGTAACGCAACTAATGCCGATAAACGATCCAATGATGCGCTTCGACATCGTATCCTCAGCTCTCATTTAATACGGTTGCTAAAGCTGGGTTACGGCATTGGGTGTAATCAATCAATCTACACAATCAGCTTTCGAGAAGTCATCATTACCCGGGCAGCCCACGTACAATTGCGAGTCTTGTCACCCCATTTTGGTGGCTTGCCGGCTGTTGAGTTTCCCCAATTGATTGGGGTGAACAGGTATGGCGTAACTTCGGCTGATTGAGCACCAAGGTCGCTGGATCGCGATCGATGGATCGGCCAATGTGACGACACGGTCATGTTTGAGTCCTTCAGTCGCGTGATGATGATGGTCGATATGTCGGCAAATCGCCGCCGCTTATCAATATCTGACATTGACAGCGATGAGACATGAAAGACTGCGTGGGGTGCAATTGGATAGTGTTCAGCTGCAGCGGTCCATAAAAGAAACATGAACCTTTCAGGGATGTGTGCTTGAACGTACACATCGGTAATTTATTCACCAACAACGTCGACTGCTAACGAGGCGTGCCCCACTGCACCCAGGACCCCAACGGGATCACCCTGTCCAACACAACTCGCAGTAAGATGAAGCTGCTGGCCAAGCGGAACGAGATGCGGAAGGAACTGGACCGGACGAACCACGAGACGGGCGCCGCGCAGCGCGACAGGGACGAGCGTAGCAGAAAGTTCAAGCAGCTGGAGAAAGAGTACTCGAGCGGAGCCAGCGTGGAATCACGTCTGGGTAAGCTGCGTGCCGGCCGCGCCGCCCCCGGCCGCCGCGCGCTCCTTTATCGACTCCGTCATGGCGACAGATGACGTCGTGGCGACGGGTGACGTCACAACGCATGCTGGCAAACATCGATTGCCGCCGTGGCTGCTGCGTATGCCGGGGCCTCCTTGGGACATTGGCTGTTTGGTTGCTCTGCAGCCGCGGGGTGCGTCGACATGAACATGGCTGTGGTAGTTTGACACTTAATCTGGTATGCTGCATGCCGCCTGTCATAACGCGGAAGCCTGTGGACGGTAATCGTTATGTGTACAACTAAACCCGCTTGAGCTGTTCAGAGGGGAGCTGAACCAGCCACCGGAGCACGTTTTGAATCTCCGACTTTTTTGCCACGGCTTTCCACGTCGGTATCTGTCCCTGTGACAGCCTGTACATGTATGAACATACGGACTTCATCTGTCGTGTCTGGACGGCCCGCGGCACGCTGTGGCCCGGTGGGCGCGGGCTTGTTTGTTCATGCGTGCACGTGAGCCTGTGACCCCGTGCGCGCGGCAGCCGCCAAGAGGAACGGCCACCTGGGCAGAGTGCCCGGCCAGAGCTTCGCCTCTCCTCGCCGCTCGCCCCACCCGGCGCCTCTGCGAAGGGCCTTCAGTCAGGAGCGTGCCCAGCGCAGCCGCAGGCCTTCCCATGGTGGGTCAGCGGCGAGAGAGTCAGTGGTGGGTCAAGGGCGAGAGGGTCAGTGGTGGGCCAAAGGTGAGAAGGTCAGTGGTGGTCAGGGGCGAGAGGGTCAGTGGTGGCCAAAGGTGAGAGGGTCAGTGGTGGGTCAGGGGCGAAGGGTCAGTGGTGGGTCAAAGGTGAGAGGGTCAGTGATGGGTCAGGGGCAAGATGGTCAGTGATGGGTCAGGGGCGAGAGCGTCAGCAGTGGATCAGGGCGAGAGGGTCAGTGACGGAGGATTGGGGACGGGCCAGGAGTAAGAGGGTCATGGTCGGCGCTGAGAGGATCAGTGACGGAGCGTCAACAGCGGGTCAGGAGTAAAAGGTCAGCGGAGGTTAAGAGGGAGGTCACCCGTGGGTCGGAGGTTGGAGCGTTGGTGGCAGCCGGGGTTGAAGGGTTTAGCGGTTGGTCAGGGGACGCAGTTCAGGTGGTTGACCAAGCGTGATATTTCAGTACTAGACCAGGAGCAGCAGTAAGGGATGTGCCAAGGGTAAGAATGTTAGCTGATGTTCAGAGGCGGAGAGGGCCAATGGTAATCAGAGGTAAGGGGTTCAGCGGAGGTGGTGCAGCGGTGGAGGGTCAGTGATTAGTTAACGCGGAGCAAGATGGCCAGGCTTTCTCTTGCTGACACTGGAGGGCGCGAGGCCCGTGCTGGTGACTGTGTATGTCCAAGTCTGCGATGAGTGTGGTAGGGGAAGGTTAACTGCATGATACGGAAATTGTATGCAATGTAAATACACATCACCGGATCAAGGCTTGATGTTGCATGTCAACCTAGAATAATGAATGAGGTGTCTAGATGTTTCTCTACTACATATTGTACTCCCAGCAGCAGTGGCAGGCGATTAATCATTTTCAAAAGGATAGCCTTGCATGGTAAACAGCTGTGATGAATACATGGTGGCAATGACCTTTGAAGGAAACCATGGTTTGATCTCAAGAGGCAGTATCGGCGCATCAATGGCGCGTGAAGGCACTTTAGGTGTAGTTACCACGGAAGTAATGTCACCTCGTCTGGGAGTATGCGTCGAGTTCTGTGTGACATTAACAGGTTATTGTTGCAGCTAATCACCTCAGCCCGGAGAAGCCCCCTGCGACACTGCTACCCAGCCCCCGGATGGAGAGGAAGTCAGGTAGCATGCAGAGCTGGCAACCAAACCGAAGCAGCCAGCACTGCCCAAGTCGAAAACGTAAGATGTTATCGACTAAGTAGCATCCTGCCTGTGTCGTGCAGCGAAACAGTTCATCTAATGCTACGAGTCCCTCAGTTGCGCAATGGTTCATTAACTTAGACAACTTACAAGCACTGAAGATACGGTGCCGCGGAACGATGCAGTATGCCCCAACCAAGTATCTGAAGTGGTTAAAGTAACTGCCTTAGTACCACCGCACTACTGTCAGACTTTTTCGGTGAAAAATTCGCTGGCGTTCATTTGCCACGAAGAGAAGCTGAATACCAACCCCACCAGCCTCAGTTGCAAATTCCTGTCAAATGCGTGGCAAGTTATGCTCAATACAACGACGACGAGGACCCACCCGTTACAGAGAGCTGCATGCGCCAGGCTGTCCGGCATGACCTAAAGTGATACTGGACAACTGAGCCTAATAAATGGTTCATTCGATGCGTAGATCATTGGGATCCGGTCGTAAACCCGAGGGAAAAGCTTAGCCACGCTTGGATACGGCGGCACCGTTGCTAGAACACGAAATGCCATGCTGATGGAATCACGTTCTTGAGCCGGAAAGGGCGATGCCAAGCAGACAAAGCCCATTGAAAGTCTTAACATGACTGGCGAATAGCACCCCCACGCATTCTGTACATAAGTGGATACAATGCTGTTAAAACTTGGATGCAGCTAGAACCAACTACGAAGCTACGTGCGTTGCTAAAATTGAGTCATGCCTGTCATCAGTTTCTGCTTTTCGCTCAACTGCGTTCTAAGGTGCGATATGTTCTGAAAAGCTGTTGTTGAATAATTCCGTTTTTCGCAGTTTTGGAGCCGAACTGAACAAGCGCAGTATCCCGAGCAGCGCGAGTACCGTGTTTGGAGACCACTTGGAGAAGTTTGGAAACCCCAAGGCGGCCCTGGAAGAGGCGTACCGCAAGCTCAACTCTGATGACTGGTCAGTGGTCCGGATCGTTATGTCATAGTGGTCAGGTAATTGCCACAAAGGTAAGGAACATTAAGATGGCGTTGGTGATGGCCCTACTGTGAACCACCACACCTAGTCTCAGGCGGGAATTCGTCCAGCTTTGGGGCTGAAGCGAATTTCGATTAGTTTCTTTGCATGCAGCATTATAGCCATTGCCGCCCTACAGCGGCCATGACATCATTTTTCCGCATTAATTTTATTTCCGCATTAGTTTCCGCATCATTTCATCAATTTCGGGGTCCGGCTCTCCAGGTCCTCCTAGCTGCAGCTCAAATGCAGCCAGACTTCGCCAAAAACTTCCATATTTGCGGTGAACATTGGCCGAACACACGCACGCCAATTTTCCTACCCGCACGACCACAGCACCAATCCTTTGTCAACCCCGTCCGTTCGCGGAGCCGCCGCTGGGCCAGCCCGAGTGGCGTTGTCTGTGACCTGGCGTGACCTGGCGTCGGCAGGGAGCGGGAGGTCAGCGGCCTGACGGACCTAGTGCGCCTGTTCCGCTACCACCCGGACATGGTCAGCGGCGACCTCAAGAACGTCTCGGCCGCCGTCATCAAGCAGATGAAGAATCTGCGCTCGCAGGTGCTGCGTGCCGCTGTCCAGACCAGTTGCGAGATGTTCCAGCACGTCGGCAAGGGCGTTGAACCGGTGAGCCTCGTCGACATCGGTGGAGCGACGTCACCTGGCGTGCGTGGCACCACATCATCACATACGCGCGCTCACGACAGCGGCGTCACAGACTGCAACACGGGATAGCACAACGCTCAGTGGTGTAGCGTTCTGCGTGTTTTCGTCATCGCTTTCATGTAGAGTTCAGCGTGTGCTGCAGAATATGTTGCAGGAATCGCTCTACTCTTCGTAACTCCGCAAGGCCGTCGCGAGCCCACGGCATCCGCTACCGTATCGGCCACCGCCACTAACCCCGCCCGTCGCTCCGCCGCCAGAACCTGGAGAAGATCGCGCGATTCTGCTGCAGAAGACGAGCGACACCAACAAGTTCATCAAGGCGGACAGCAACCGGTCGCTGGACGTAATGCTGGACAGCGTGTCCCTGCCGCGCGCCATTACGGCCGTCACCAGCGAGGGTCTAGGCCACCGCAACGCCCAGGTGCGCTGCACGGTGGCCCCTGCTGGCGACGGTGGTGCAGCGGCTGGCGCGGCCGGCTCGCTCTCGGGCCAGCGCGACATCACCGACCGGCTGGTGCCAGCGGCCGCGCAGCTGGTGCGCGAGGGCGACCTGCAGACGCGGTATGTGCCAATGGGTGGGGGCGGC